GGGGGTTGGGGGGCACACGAGTGACAACAACAAAGCCCGTACATTTTGATCTATTCCGGGAACGCAAGCCCACCCTGCGTAAAAATCGATAAGCACGCTGCTTCATAAATCAATACAAAAAGAGCGACGCTGTTTTTCCCACAGACACAAGATACGCCTTGTGCGCACTGAGCTGGTGCAATTACGCCGTGCCACGGCTCTTCTCATTACTACGGCGAGCGCGAATCTGGGCACAGCAAAACATCAATAATCCTTTACTGCACACCACCTCCCTTCCCCACGAACATTTTCCCTCGGGCCAATAAAACGAGCATTTCGCTTGCCGAACAGAAAACCGCTTCATAAAAAAGCAAAGAATTTGATAAACAAACAGGCAGACGCACAGACGAAAACACCGAGAGACAAAGACATGTCTCTGTCTGAACTAGCTCTGCGAGCACGCCTACAACGTCTGTTTCTTGTAGTCTGTGTGAGCCGTTTCCAACCGAGAGCGATGGAAGAAGGTAACACCGACCTAGCGTTATGTAAACGTAGGCCAGGGAGGAGAACAGCTGGTACATGGATTCCTATTCCTTTACATTTTCTGACTACAGTACTAGCTTTGGCCAATCTTCGCTCTCCATTTGGTTTTCCTCACTACATCAACCTATTAGGTGTGTGAAAGTACGAAACTGATGAACAGAAATGAAACTGCTACAGGATAGTCGACACGGAGCAGTCCATAGAACAAAAAGCCAACATCCATTTCCATACACACAACAAAGCTACCAGTAGTTGACAAATGGGTGCGCTTTATGTGTACGCGGACGCCCGCGCGCGCGCACACACACACACACACACACACACACACACACATACAATAATATATACATTTACATGCTATATACAGCGCTCGCAATGTATGTAGGCATACGGTTATATGAGCTCGTGGAACTCAAATTGGTAGTTTTATCTTTAGTTCACAGCACGACTTGGTTACAGTTTGTAAAGTCGAAATGGCTGAAGTTTAAATTTCAAGGAAAATACTCAGTAGTTAAAATAGTTGAATACATGTTAAAAATAGCACCATCTTCGGTTTAGCGTAAAGACCAAAAGTCTTTATAAAATTGAGAATATTATTGTTGGGATCCTTGATGGAGAACAAATTCCACCACACAAGTGCACTTGAAATATTTCCAGAAATGATTTCATAGCTGGCAATCTTATCACGGGTAGTTTTTTGTGTTTTTTTTGTTGTTAGTTGGGGTTGTTGTTGTTTGTTTTTTTTTG